GTTGTTGTTAGTTTGTTGGTTGAGTTGTAACTGAACATTGAACGAACATGACCCCCTCGTCCTGGCACGGGTATATTTCATCTCACAGTAGCCGATCCGGCACTCCTGCGCGATGCAGCGAATGTCTGAACGCGCTGAGTACATTCTGGGGTGTATACGCCAACCACGATCATCTCACGCACAACAGCGTTCGATAAATTGCCTGGATAAACGCACGTACAGGGGTGACGCAATATAAGTTCTGGCAAGCTTTTCGGAATACTTCGGTAGCATAAAAATACCGTTCGAAAAAGGAAATCAGCCAACTAAACGTCTGGGAGTCTTCATCTAATCAGTACCAATGACCGTATACAACAAAGTTCCAACAAGTGTTCAAAAATGCCTCCTTCAGCCTCAACACATTTACGTAGTCGTTTTCCAAAGTGTCCGCGGTAGTACGTTTTTCCCAAAAGTGTCCGACAATGGTCGCGCTATTTCTTCTGCTGTAGTTTTGGTCCATAAGCTACGTCAGCGAACTCCACTTCAGGTGGTAAACGTTGCGCTGATGCGAATATCCTGATGATTTTTCGATCGCTAGATGGAATAATGCCATAGGTTCGGACACGCTAAGTTGGAGGCCAAACGCTCCTGTTGCGCCCAAAACCGGGAAACAGCTCTACAAGGGCAGTTGTGGTTTGGCACGATGTGCGGCTCCAGTCTTGACTGGAAACACATGTCCATCGCGGCCGAGAGCTGACGACATCCCATGGCTGATGTCAGCTACATGCGTGGAGAATCGCGTTTTGGGACTACATCATTAATGCTTTAAGGATGCGGCTCAGATGAAGAATGGGAGGTCTTTCCGGTGCAGCAGATTCCCCTCAGACATAGACTTGCGGAGGCTGGAAAAGATCGGCGTCGAGCGGATTTCGACGACCGGTTGCCCGTGTTCGTGTTGAACTTTCTGAGGATCAGACAACAATTCGCGGATAGTTGTGGGATCGAAAATTTTTCAACTCGGGGCGGAGCACATATTCAAGCAACAAGCACCGACCAGAAGATGGGTTTCAACAACTGCAACTTTTTGATTTTTTCGAGACAGTGCGAGGAGAAATCGAAAGTGATTGGATAGATGACTCGTACGGTAGTTCGAAATGGCTTGCGGAATACAAATAACCTATCGGAGAGAAAACAGAGACCATAATGATTCGAAGTAAACCACGAAAAGAATTGGCCAGCAACTTTTGTCCCTGTAAGTGTTGTGTTGGCTACGGCATCGGCATTTTTTTGAGCGTTTGGGGTGAACGATAGATATAATAAAAATTTTTCATGGTTTAAATTCACACTTTTCAAACCAAGTGTCACTCCTCAATAGCCAATTCACCTTTTCAACCAAACTCCTGTTCAAACGAAATCACTCACTTTCAATGCGAATTAAGCCGATTAAGTTGATAGCGAGCACATCATCAACCAGAAACCCAGACATGATCGTGGCGCGAGCCCCGACAGGACGCACGCCCACTTGTCAGCGCGGAGACGCAGATTCTCAAATCTTGTTTCATAACTTCTGCTTTTGCTGTTTCCCACAAACACTTTGACTGGAAACGACCGGCATTGACACATGGCCGACTCCGCCCATTCTCTAAAGGGTTTGGCAATCTAGGCTGACCACGCCCACTTGCTTTTCGCGGATATTTTTCAAAATTTTTGCATTTTAGGGCTGCTGCGTGAAGCCCCGCCCACTGTGAGAGGCTCCGCCCACTTTGAAGAAGCCCCGCCCACTTTTCAAAAATGGTGCAAATCGGCAGTATAGAGACTTGGCTTGCATGCTAGGGTATTGCTGATCATTCGGAATAAACTTTGCCGGATTTTCTTGTTCCGAGTGACGAACGAGACCCTAGCATGCAAGCCAAGTCTCTATACTGCCGATCTGCACCATTTTGAAAAGTGGGCGGGGCTTCCAAAGTGGGCGGAGCCTCTCACAGTGGGCGGGGCTTCATGCCCTAAAATGCAAAAATTTTGAAAAAATATCGAAAGTCCGCGAAAAGCAAGTGGGCGTGGTCAGCCTAGATTGCCAAACCCTTTAGAAAATGGGCGGAGTCGGCCATGTGTCAATGCCCGGTCGTTTCCAGTCAAAGTGTTTGTGGGAAACAGCAAAAGCAGAAGTTATGAAACAAGATTTGAGAATCAGCAAAAGCAGAAGTTATGAAACAAGATTTGAGAATCTATGTCCGCGCTGACAAGTGGGCGTGGCCGTCGGGGCGGGGCTCGCAGTGATGTCTGGCGTGATCTGGTTGATGAGTTGCCCGCCCTAATAAGTGTGGTTAATTTGATGTGAAAAGTGAGGGTGAATTTGGTTTGAAAAGGGGTGAATTTGGTTTGAAAAAGGGTGAATTTGGTTTGAAAAAGGGTGAATTTGGTTTGAAAAAGGGTGAATTTGGTTTGAAAAAGAATTTAGAGTGAAAATGGTATATATCGGTCTGACGTTTTTAGCACCGACCGACACCTCCACTATACTTTTCGCTCAAAACGCTAGCATTCCGCTGGGAAGATTCAGCTATGTCGATAGCCTATGTCGATAGCTAACTTTGCTTTTCGCCCAGAAGACGTCAAATGATGTGATGGAGCATCCAACGGGCCTATAGATCTTACGAGCGCTACTCCATGCAATCGTTCTAATCCTTTAGATATGCTTCGCATTGCAACACGAACGTTCCCAAGCAATTCCGACGTCATTGTCGTAACATGTGTTTGCAGTGCACCCAGACTTATTTACGGCTCATTTGGGGGTACGGTGTATGGTTGTTCGCCTACTGAAGTTACCGTACTGCCATCTTCGGAGATGTTCAGCAGGAATGAAGATGACAGTAACGGTAACTGTATCTCATTAATCCTCATGCTGCATTCAATACATGCGTCAGCGCCAGCCACGAACACCAGCGTCCACGAGTGTTGCGAGCGAAAGCCAGCGCCAGCAATCAGCACAGTACA